TTTCTTCCTTCTCGAAATGTTCATATAAGGTTAGACATTTACAACCTCCAGGGAGTTCCTACTTACTGTACTACTATGAAAGCGGGGGTTCCTGGAGGTCATGTAGGTTAGTGGATATACACATTAGGTATAAGTCGTTTTTTTGGTTATATTTTTAAAAGAAATTAATCTCCAATGATGTTTATGTTCACTTTTCGGTTGTAATCCCTTCTTCATTTCTTTGCGACCTCTTTATTTTGAGTGTAGTATACGCTTTTAGTAGACAGTTGTCCCAGAATTTGTGTATAAAATAAGACAAAAAATAATACCTCAGATACTTGCATACAAGCGAACCCCGAATAAAGTACAAATAGTAATAATCAAATATATAGCACTGCTTACATATGAATTTTTCACATTGTTCTCAGGAGCTATTTCTTTTACATTGAAAGCCTCTATCGACGATAAATTTCCCCCAGTAGACGAAAGAGAATCAAGCATTTGTTCAACCTTATAATACAGTAAACAAGAGTGATTAGAAGTTACATATTTATGTATACTTAATGAGTTCAAGTTCATTTTTTGGAAAGACTGGACATATAACTGAAAGTAAAGACTAAGATTCCAAAACGGAGTGAAAAAAGAACAGTTCCCTACTTGAAGACACTATGATTTATAAGGCTCCTGGCAAGTTCCTGACATCCGCCGACTTAACATTGTGTATCTCAAAAAATGTTCATTTTTTAGATGTAATATTCCACAAACCTAGTACAGAAACCACGAAACCTGAAGATTAAAACCCTTTTTCGAAGTAAAAACGATCTTAAGAGTTTTTCCATCCAGGCACTAACAGGAACAAATTTAATGTCATTTAGGGAATTCGCAAACAGAAAGATAAGCCTGTTAGCGACTTCCTGAAAACCTTGGTCAGAATGTCTCAAAGCAGGTATAAAAATGTGAACTTACACAAAAATATATTAGTCCAAGTGGCAGCATTTAGTAACGTCATGAAGAGTAAAACAGCAAAAGCAAATTCTAATTCTCTATATATCAGACTAGGGCCCATGGTAGCCAGTGACTAACAATAAGCCCATACACCTTTTGTTACCTTGGGATCATGGAGCCCTTGTGCATCATCAGTTTGGAATCAGGGTTTCCCAACTCACCTAGTTGGACCCTTGATATAGACCGACCCGGTTAAAACGCCGGACATTCGCTTTTCGTCCTTTCAATTTCGGAAACAGAGGATGAAGGTTATGAAGCCAGTGATTGTGGTGTTCACAAAGTCTGAACTTTTCAACATTGTGAATTGATATCACACCTTCGTTTAGCTACCACCGACTCTTCATATTATGTGGATCATTACGAAGAAGCAATCACTCGGGTGGCGTGTGACATTACTAATCTTGTTACTGCAGGGCCTGAGATAAGCAGAGTAGATTTTATGACCATTGGCATTCGTTTGTATAGTTTCAACTACATCAACCGGGTCCACTAACAGATTTACGAAATCTATTGATAGGTACAAAGTATCAATACAGTGCTTGTACACTTAGCACATTCAAAAGTCTTGGGTGGGGCAATAATTTATGGACGACCTTTGAGAGGACCTGAAGTAACCTTGAGAACATCCACCAACTAACTAGGACTAAATGAGGGTTATAAACCAGTGCGAGGAATTAGAATTATGATTTATAATTGATGGTTAAGGTTAGAACTTAGATTTAGGGGTTTCATCACGAACTGACATCAGCTACAATGCAAAAGCTCTATCTAGCCAAATGGACGAGTGAATTTTGAGCCAGGATTTAACACTCATTATTTTATACCTGACTGGTCGTAAATTACAGTCTCGACTGGAAAACTAAAATCGGACCCCAACATACACAAGAATAACCCAATTTGCCAATTTTGGGGAAAATCTGACCGATTTTAGGACAGCCACTATGAAAAACTTTGAGAAAATGGCAGAAGAACCCCAACATTTTCCGAGATCTGGGAAAATTTCACAATATTTGCACAAAATTTCCTTTAAACCTTGGTGAAGATCATTCGACTTTGAGGATTTCCTCAAAATTGGAAGATTGTGAATACTAAAACAACATTATAATGTTGTTTTAGTATACGATCTAGTGCAAGCTCATCCTAATAATGATAATCAAATACAATGATCTTTGGAGCTGGTACGCTTCCCCTGATTGGCGTCAAAATTGTTGTAATTAGGAATAAAAATGTACTCAGATTTACCAGCTCTACATTACACTGTTAGCATGAGCCTGAAGAGATTGTTCCCGACGGTGATTATTGCGTATTTTAACAGATACTAACACTAATATAATGAACAGAGATGAATCAAGAAAGAAATATCAATATAGACACTAAGGATTCCCAACCATTTGAACCACCCACCATCAGTAGATACCCGTACCGAGCGCTATCGTTTGTTACATTAATTTTTGATTCGGACAAACAAAATGTTTTCAAATGGTTCTGGACTTACCAGAGGAAGCTTGTGCTCAACGGCCTCAAATATCTAGTAATATCGAATCATCGATGCCTTTGGGCGGAAAACTGCGTATGTTTAACGATATAAAATGAGAAATATTTGTAAAATCCAATAAGATATTGTCCTTATTCTTTACGAATATGTTAGACCTTCTCTCAAAAGCCTCAAAAGAAGTGTTTTGGATTAGATCAGTCGACAGGGAATTCTAGCATTTGACTACACTTAGGGGAAGGTTTATCTATAGTCGGTTCTGCTATAAATTTTTGACATTATTATCTGGTTTTGAGGATTCCTCGCCACCAGTACTTTGTTATCGTGTAGGACCATTGAAATGTTACTGAGTTTTAGCCAGTTGAGTCACTGAGGATCGAACAGCTCGTCGATCTCCGACAAGTTCTTTGGTCACATCAGAAATATCCTCAGTCACTCTGGACAAATGGCGATAACTCCTATTCAATAATTCACAGTCGTCAAACTCCAATGGCTTCACACATTCAGTGTACAATTAACACATACAATTCATCCATATATTTAGACTTAAACAGTGTTCATCTCGTGACACACATACGCGATCAATCTTAAATTTTTGACAGACTTGAGTGACTCACTAACTTTTGTCCTCGTAATTTGTCCCAACAAAAAATTGTGACTTATAATGCATGCGCCTCTTATGTTCTCCCGTATGCTTGTCTGTATGCCTGTGCACTTGCTATTTTATCCGGTTTTGTCTTCTTGTTGAACTGTTAACGTGCACAGTGATTGATTTCCGAATAGACTCATTCGTGTTATCTACTTCTCATCTCTTTATCTATCTACCCAAATGAATGTAATAAAAATAAACATCCGAAACAATTGTACTCGAAATTTTACATCCCTATGATTGCTTACGGGATTTATAGACAGAAAACAACGCCAAGGCATCTAACAAGGTCTATCACATCTCCTTCCAACGACACAGGCCACTCTAGTCTTTGTGATAGACCTTACGTTATGAATATTGTTTCTACATTCACTGTTCTGTTCTTCTTTTATCTTGAAGTGTACTTTAGCGGTAAATAAATCCCCAAAACTAATAGCTCTGTAAGTTTTCGACATTGGATGCTGACCACACTAGTTTTAATGGACTCATCTTGCTGAAGGCGCTCGGCCAAGCATCCGCACCAGATCACGTGTGGGAACGCCGTGCTCAAAATCTACCGCATTTGCTAGTCAGATTAGTTCAGACGGTCCTCGATATATTGATAGCTTATCAAATATATCTTTGAACCTCCTCGCTTCTGTCCTTTGATTTTACTTGTTGGGTACTCTTCATATTAGGTGTAACTGGTTAAAGCTATGTCAAACTCCGAATACCTGTGGTATCTTTAGTACTATAATCCTAACGCTCCTAAAGTTTCACTTACCCCGTTTGACGTGCAAAAGAATCCTAAAAAATGCTTTCATATAATAATCCATGGCCACTAATGACTTTTTTAAAAGCTTACTCAAATTTTCCCTATAAGTTGTCTGCATAGGCAAAATACTTCAATTAGATTACTAATTTATTAATATTACAAATATACGATAATTAATTTACTATATATTTTTAGTGGCGTGATATCTGAATTTAGTTACATTGTAGGATGATTGTTATCGAAATATATACACCACCAATCCTCGCATACGTTTATCGACTTCATTCGCGTTGGATAATAACGAAATAAAATGAGTCAAATCAGAGAATGAATTTTAAATACGCATGTTTCATACACTCATTGATCTGAATGGATAATCAGAGGAACGAAGCAAGTGAGACGAGACAAAGTATCGCTAAGCGGGGAAGCGGAGTGATCCAACGCCTTTTGATTAAGTGTGACTAAATACTTACAGTCAGATAAAAATAAGTCACAGATACATAATGAAAAGGGTAGTTTGTTATAAGCTATCTGGCTTCATTCAGCGAATGAACGTTGGAAGAAGCTGTAAAATGCAGGAATGTTAGAAACTCTGATTTAAATGAATATCAGATTTGAGGTTGAAAGTTTATTGTATATAAGTAACTGAATTCAACACGTTAACTATGATTATTCAAACTAATCAATTCCTGCTATAGTAGTTACGTATGATCCAGTATTCAAATCAGGGAGAGCTCGGTGAGCACAATCGAAGATGTGTTCGGAATTTAAATAAACTACGGAATAATGCACAGACGCATCGTTATTGTACACAAACATCACAGCAAGTAATTGACTTCATTATTACAAGATTGCTAATTAAGTATACAATTTCAAGATTTCCGTCAAATATTTGACTGTACACATGCATTTAGCAATACTCTAAGATAGTCTTTTTCAGTTTTTATGTAGAAAAATCTTTTTTAGCATTTTGTTCACTCTCTTTCAGTACGGAATTAAAATCATAAATTAACATAACAAAAATTGTATTAGATCCCTTTTTGCGTTTGTATATTTTCTTAGACTTATACTGACGTATAACTAAATTCCTTTAATAACGATATAAAATTCATAAAAACGTATTCAGAGAACCATATGTGTATAATATTTTACAAGAAAAATGGCTGTGAACTAAACCCACATCTTAGTGCACATCTTAATCAGGTCGTATAAATTGTACATAAATTACTGAATACACTAGTTATCGAATAATATGAAGTGATAAAATAGGATTAGAGGAAATAAGAATCACTTTTAAAAATTTGGAACATAATGTAATTGTGTATGTCACTGAAGTTTAGAACTACGTAGATTCATATATCAGCTTCCTGTATCCCTTCGAATGTCTTCTGAATCAATCCTTAGTTCTTTGGACATCAGAGTGTTATAATTAATGTAAATGTTTTTACTAGTACTTTGAATAGTTGCAAATGGACTTCCATTTCGATCCAGAGAGTTAAAATTAACATCACTCTGTTTTGTTATATTTGTTGTATAAGGAACTTCATAAAGATTTTCCATTTTCCGTGTATCCATCTGTGAATTCGCGTTATCGCCAAATGTACTCAATTTAACAGGGGAATGATTACTTTCTGGAATATCAAATATCTTTTCGTGTTTCATGTAAACTCGTGTATTGTCATGACTGTCATTAACACTGATAGTACTATTATATGGGAAATTGGATAGATATGTAACTGCTGGATGTTGTGGAATATTAGGGCGTCTAAAGTAAAAGAAATTACAGATTATATAATATTTGTTGAACAATATAAAATCAGTTAACTCATAAATAGATATGGCATCAAGTATACTGAAAAAACTGTATTGTTGTATGTTTATTTGAATCACTTAACGTATCCAAATGTGTTTACTTCCCATAGAACACATATTTTCCAAGTTCATTTGTTATTCATAAAGTTTATATAAAAAGTTTAGCAAATAAATAGAAACTGTTTTTGACGAGCAACAGACATAACACATAAAGTTTTATTTTCTCGAATTGATTTCATATCATGTAACTGTTCAATAGGAAATTATAATAAATTATTATTGCCATAACTTAATTCATATAATGAGCCGAGTAGTGGGAGTTATAATTTATTAGACTATCATACGAAAGATTATTATTGATATTTTTATTCTACAATTAGTAGATGGTTAAACTGTTGTATTCTTTATATCTTTCTATTCCTAAGTTTTTTTAGTCCATAAGTAGTTTCCACATGTTTTATTACTCTAGATGTATTTTTAAATAAATGTTTACCCTGTAGTGACCTACTTTTGTCAACAGAACGCGATTGGTTCGATGAAAACAATTATTATTATAACCAATTGTACCAGTGACTGTTTTACTGTGCTCGTTTGTTTAACTGTGCTAATAACAGCCATTTTGGGCTTCCATTGTATTCCATTGCTTTTACGCGGCTTTTGACTACGCACGTATCTTATCTTGCCGATCGCAACTGTACTCCTTTGGCACGATCTCGGTATTCTTTCGATACCACGAGATCGCCAACAAATATATACGACTACTACAATCATCTGCCTTCTGATATTTTGGCCTATCGGAATTTTATTGGTCTATTGGCAAGTAGTCTGGTAGCGGTGTTCATAGTTCAGCTCAACTCGACACCACGCTACATTTGGTGACCCAAATATTGGAACACGCCTCAACCTCGGTCAAATCTTTCAAAGAAGGCAATTCGGTGAGTCTATTGTTTTATCCATCCACGTCTGTCATATATTTTCATATTAATTTTTAATATATATATTTGACATGACGGATAACGATAAGAATAGTATTAATATAATAGACTCCGATGTACGCGTACCGAATCCTCGGCACTTTTTATTCGCGTGACGATAAATTCCACGCCTTATTCGAGAAATTCCCCAGATTAACTAAACCACTCGAGGAGATTTCATCGGTGACCAATCGTGTGGTACACCACATAGTCACCCGCGGACCACCAGTCACGGCAAGACCACGCCGACTGGCACCGGACAAATTAGCTTTCGCTAAACGTGAGTTTGACAATTTACTATCTGCTGGTATTATTCGTCCTTCTCACAGTCCTTGGGCCTCTCCTTTACACATGGTGCGCAAAAAGGATGGAGTTAGTTGGAGACCTTGCGGCGACTACCGAGCATTAAACGTAGTTACGCGCTTTGATAGCTACCCCATCCCCCACATACACGACATCACGGCATCGCTCAAGGGCACGACTATCTTTTCTAAAATCGATCTGGTACGAGCATATCACCAGATCCCAGTCGCTCTTGAAGATATCGAAAAAACTGCTATCACGACTCCTTTCGGTCTGTTTGAGTTCCTACGAATGCCATTTGGATTACGGAATGCTGCTCAAACTTTTCAAAGGTTTATCGATAGCATAGTACGAGACTTGGATTTTGTTCACGTCTATATTGATGACCTGCTGATCGCATCATCAAACGTAGATGAACATTATCAACACCTTACGCTATTATTCCAACGTCTTTCGGATAATGGAATAGTAGTCAACCCAGAGAAATGTGAGTTGGGTAAATCAGAAATAATATTTCTGGGTCACATCATCAGACAAGAGGGTATTCTGCCTTGCGAGGACAAAATTCGAGCAATCAAGGAGTACAACGTGCCGTCCTCAATCAAGGAACTGAAGGCTTTTCTCGGTTTGGTTAACTTCTACCGACGTTTTATCCCTCACGCGGCAGAACGGTTACGACCACTAACCGATTTACTACGCGGTAATCCACGCAAATTAGAACTGAACGATACCGCACGTACTGCATTCTCAGAGATCAAAACGGCTCTCGCTGAAGTTACACTCCTCGCTCATCCTGACCCATCAGCCACGCTTAGTATAGCGGTTGATGCATCGGATTTTGCTATAGGAGCCGTTATGCAACAGAATATCTCCGGTAGTTGGCAACCGCTTGAATTTTTCTCACGACGCCTTACTCCCACGGAGACGAGATATAGCGCTTTTGGTCGCGAACTGCTTGCAGCCTACTGCGCCATCAAACATTTCCGGCACGCAGTAGAAGGACGCCAATTCATTTTATTCACCGACCATAAGCCCTTAACGTATGCCCTGCATACCAAGTCTGACCGCTACTCACCACGAGAGTGCAGACATTTGGACTATATCTCCCAGTTCACGACAGACCTTCGTCACATTAAAGGCGAGTCGAACTATGTTGCCGATGCTCTATCACGTATCCAGACGAATGCAGTTACCTTACCGGTGCTCGATCTTCCTGCTATGGCCGCCGCGCAAGCAAACGATCCTGTCTGTACAGAAGCACCACAATCTTCGTCCCTTCAGTGTCAGGAAGTACCCCTAGCTACTAGCTCAGGTACTATCCTATGTGATATTTCTACCGGTCTACCTCGACCCATCGTACCCTCTACCTATCGCCGTCTCGTCTTCGATGCCCTTCATGGATTGTCTCATCCAGGTATCGCAGCCACATTATGCCTCATCGCTGCACGATACGTCTGGTCGTCCATGAATAAAGATGTTCGTATGTGGGTAAAGCAATGCTTACAGTGTCAACGATCGAAAGTGCACAGGCACGTAGCTGCCCCCATTGGCACGTTCGCTACGCCTGATGCTCGCTTTGATCACGTTCATATAGACATTGTAGGACCATTGCCACCATCGCATGGGTATGATCACATACTCACGTGCATTGATCGTTTTACAAGATGGCCCGAAGCTATCCCCATCACGTCTATCACGGCGGAGACAATTGCTCACCGCTTCGTAGAACGATGGATAGCATTGTACGGTTGTCCCTCGACTGTCACGACTGACCGAGGACAACAATTTGAGCCCGCATTATTCTCCTCACTGACCCGGCTGCTTGGTACGGAACGCATACGCACTACCGCCTACCATCCAGCATCGAATGGTTTAGTCGAACGGTTTCATCGCCAACTTAAAAGTGCTCTCCGAGCACACGAAAACGACGATTGGTACGAAACCTTACCGCTCGTTCTCTTAGGCATCAGAACGAGTTTGAAGGCAGATATTCAATGTTCCGCCGCTGAACTTGTATACGGCACGACATTGCGTCTGCCTGGGGAATTCTTCACACCACGGAGCAGTAGTGATTTCGGTAAATCAGACTACGTCCATCGACTGTCTGCATTTATGCGAACGCTGTCTCCGGTGTCAACTCGAATACAACATCGACAGGTCGCTCTCCCTCGAGAGTTATCTACCTGTTCACATGTTTTCATACGAGTAGATTCGGTACGCAAACCTTTGCAACAGCCTTACGAAGGCCCTTTTCACGTGATCTCTCGTCACGAAAAGACCTTCAAGGTTGATCGACACGGCCACGTCGAGATCGTCAGCATTGATCGTCTCAAACCAGCACACGTCGATGACAGTGCCCTACCCGATAACTCGAGACTCAATGCTAGACCTATCAAACCTTCTAGCGGGATCTCTACGTCTACCTCGGATCCCACGCTAGAAACATCAGAGACCTCGTTCTCACGTCCCGGTCAACAGCACGCGTCATCTGCACCATCTACGGACGAGACTTCCGTCTCACGTCCAGATCGGCAGACCACGCCGCCCTTGACCTCGGATGAGATCGCAGGCTCACGAAGTACGAACGAGACCACCGTCTCACGTTCCGGTCGCCGAGTACGCTTACCCGTACGCTTTCGCGACTAAACGCACAGTCAATAACATACGGTGTAGGATTATTCCTATACTACACGCATGCTACACTTTTCTTTTTTTGATTTCTTTTCTGTATCCTGAGCCCACGCCTACGACCATCGTCCATTTGATAACGTCGACTTCAGTCAACTTTGGCGAAAGCTGGTTTGGCCACCCACGCTCTAGTCAACGCACTCAGTCGATTATCTGGTCTCGAATTCGCCTGGCATATGCTTGGTAGTTATGGTCGCGTCCGGTTTCTTGGCTCAACGTGGTTTCGTCCTACGTCTGCAGCGTTTTCTGGTTCACATCCCTACGAACGCAATCATCAGATTCTGGATACAAACCACTCTGGTGTGGTATGCTAATTCGACCAACAAATACAGCACACTTCTGGTACCGTTCTGCGCAAAAGACCTTCGTTGGCAACTCGAGGATCAACGATCACTTCCTGTTCCGCCAATTTCCTCCGTCCTACAACCGCAATTCTGCCGATCAGTCCCACGAATCAAACCGCTAACTATCGAAAGTGTAAACCCTTTCTAGCGGGGGGCTCCTGTAGTGACCTACTTTTGTCAACAGAACGCGATTGGTTCGATGAAAACAATTATTATTATAACCAATTGTACCAGTGACTGTTTTACTGTGCTCGTTTGTTTAACTGTGCTAATAACAGCCATTTTGGGCTTCCATTGTATTCCATTGCTTTTACGCGGCTTTTGACTACGCACGTATCTTATCTTGCCGATCGCAACTGTACTCCTTTGGCACGATCTCGGTATTCTTTCGATACCACGAGATCGCCAACAAATATATACGACTACTACAATCATCTGCCTTCTGATATTTTGGCCTATCGGAATTTTATTGGTCTATTAGCAAGTAGTCTGGTAGCGGTGTTCATAGTTCAGCTCAACTCGACATCACGCTACAACCCAAAACGCTAGTTTAGTAGCACTTGTGTGTGGTCAAACATTTCAGAGATATTATTGTATAAGTTTTGAGTTATAACTGAATTGGAGTATGACAGAGAACTAATGTTCTTTTACATTTGTTTCCTAATTAGACACTACGTTAGAAGGATCTCGAGGACAAAAAGGCATTGTGGTCTTGATTGATGTGTCAGACTGGCAAATAGAAGGTGGTCGGTATTACTGGCAATTTAAGTGAATGATTTGTCGTCTAAAGTGAATTAACGTCCTATACGTGTAAACATGGAAAACTAACCCTTATAACATTGGCGGCGGTGGTTAAAACGGATATACGCCCATATATTCAGTTAAAGTGGATTTTGTAACGATAAAATGGATGATCTAGAAACTTTATTGCAAAAGCGAAATTCCCTTATCGAATTATTGGTCAAAAGTGTGTCAATATTTAATTCTCCTATAACTCCGGATTCTATTGCGAATTCAATAAATGAATTCAGATTTGATCCAGAATATGGGATTACTTTTGAGGCATGAGGATTTGTTTATTAATGATTGTAAAGATTGTAACTAAGGTTCAAAACTGAAATTATTATTACGGAAGCTCGTAGTGTTTGAACATGAATAGTTCTGTAATTTTATCCTCCCAAAGAAGACAACCGACTTAACATTCAACATGACACAAATCTAGTAGAAAGGAACAGTGAACACGTGGAAGTTAAAGCTTTGCGGAAATATTTTAACAGAAATAAGGATTTGTACTCCCAGAGAATCCCAAATCAAATGAAACTCAAAACGTGTTGTTGGAGATGTGATAAGCGTCATTTGGCTAATGTTTGCTATTTTATAAAAGTTTGTTTCCTTTGTGGTAAATATGGTCATGCTCAAGTATGTCGTAAAAGTGGGAAAAAGATTATCCACCGTCAGCATAAGTTTCGTAAAGGAAATAAGACGCATACGTTACACGAGATACCACATAATTCGAGTGTTGTTCTGACCGCAAAAGGTGCTCAATTTTCATCTAAAAGAAAGTACGTAACTATCTTTTTTAATAGTAAACCGGTCATGCTGCAAATTGATACGGGGTCTGACATAACATTAATTTCTGGAGAGACTTGTGTAAAACTTGATGGACCTCAGTATCAACCTACATATTATAACTCTTATAGTGCGGTAGGAACTAACATTACTCTTCTTGGAGAAATGCAGATACCTCTCACATTGGGTGACAAGACTATGTCCGAAGGATGTTAGGTATCTGGACATTGTCATGCCAACTTATTAGGCATTGACTGGATAGATAAATTTGGTTTATAGGACCTGCCGTTGAGCTTTGTCTGCAATATGATCAAATTACCAGCCGAAAAAATATTTGGCCGACCAATTAAAACATTTTTTGATGTTTTGAAACCGAAAGACAGAAGGAGTGGACTACAAAAAAATAAGAAAGGGAATTGGCCGAAGATTCGAGAATTCAAAGCGGGTGACTTAGTCTATGCACATGATTTCCGGCCTGGCAAGACAAAATGGATATTCGGGCGTATAAAAAAACGTGGGACCGTATTCTACGAATTGATGGTTGAAAATACACTAGTTATAAGACACATAAATCAACGGCGAGATAGAAAAAATGTTTATGAGTCACCTAAATCCAAACCTTCACCAACGGAAATATTATGTGATACATTTAATATGCCGCCAGCACCACAAGTTAAAATGAGAAAAATGAGCTGAAATCAGAAGCTAGCCCTAAGTCATCAAGGAAGTGGATACAAACGCGGTTTTTTTTAATAGACCTCAAAGTGAAGTCATACGATCAAACTTCGCGAGGGTGGTGATGTGTGGGCGAGAATGACAATGATTGGTTGTCTGCTTAATCAGTTATGTAGATAGTCTGACAGGTGTCAGATGAGTCATATATTCCCCTATCCTTATTATTATTATTATTACTCACTTATTATTGACTGTTCATTGTTGTTGGATTGTGTCGGTTTTTGATGTGGAAATATATCTACGTTCTAGTCAGGCTAATCACGTGTTCTTGATCTGAGTTGTGATGACGTCCCGTAGAATTGACAATGGGAGGGAATCGAGTGTAGATTTTCATCTAAGGTAAATTAACGTCCCATACGTGTAAACGCGGAAAACCAACCCTTATAACAGTGAACTAATAGACGAATGGATTAGATAGAGTGATAGAGAAATCATACGACTGCTCTCCTGTCATTACAGTTTAATCACACGGGCCCCAATACAACTCAAGGCATCTAGTATTTTCTTGTATAACATTTTCATATCTTCAAACATTCCTGTTTAGTTTTTTAGTTTACTTTCATTAACTCTTATCACTCAATCAACTCTGTGTTCAAGATTAAGTTACTACTTTATTTGAATCTTATATTTTCCTGTTCAGATGAAAACATTTATTTCCCAACACTGTACTGCAAATATGTGTGAGTTTACTGATCACTATGTTTTAGTTTGTTAGTTCAAATACACTTATTCAAATGCTATGATTACGCGGAACAAAATGTCTTACCTAGATATATAACATAGCCAAACAAAGAATCCAATAACGAGAATAAGAAATATTACAAAAATAATAGAGAATGCTATTCCAAACGTTCTACCAGCTGACCAACTCTGAAAAAAAGGAAATTAGTAAATATCTTAGTGATAAAATAACTATTGGGAATATGGTAATAAAATGCGGCAAGCACCAATTGACGTTGCTGTATTTAATAATAATATGGAGAGGGAATTTACACAAATGGATTGATGCTAGAGTAAGCTTCATCCCTTTTAAATGTTTAAGATAAAAATAAAGAGTTATTAGTTATTAGTAATGTTACCTCTAGAGCGGACAGTGGCCCGTTCAGTTGCTTGACTTAATATATTTTTGCGGTAATGGATAACTATTTTCTAAACTCTTTATAATTCAGCTTTTATAACTTGAAGAATTCAGAAAAATTAGTACGTGTCTCATCTTCGTTACCATTTTCAGGTTCTTAACCTCACTGACTGGAGCTCGGTATTCAACTTTTATATTGGCTATCTGATAGAAAACTTGAAAATACAAACTCTTAATGCCAGGTCAAACACAACATTATAAACTATTTAGCAGTTGGGTACAAATTCATTGACTGACATCAAACTATTAGGACTCCTTACTATAACATCAGCTTATATAGCATTTAAAAATAACAATCCACCAATAATGAGTTTGTGTCCATCAACTTGTGAACTTCCTTCTTAAAAATGTGCACTTAATTAAGCTTGTGAGAATAAGTCTGTTTACTGATTTTTTACGTTGATATTCAGATAATTTCCTTTGTGTTTGTTATTAGATGATTGGAGATATTCAGTAGGATGCCCCAGATTTTAGATTGCGGCTTCTGATATTCGGCATTAGAAAGTATCTAGAGCTTCATTTCATTTATGAAATCGTTGTATTCAATGACACTACAACGTGGACTCGGATGGAACTCTACGGGGTCTAAAATCGGACCGAAAACCGCAAAACGTCAGTGAAACGGAGTTATCAGGCCACTAATCAGGTAATAAATTTTCGTTGTGGGCTGGTCGACACTATTCTGGTTATTTAAACTATTTAAAACTTTTGACACAGTTTGTTATTACAAATCGAAGCTTTATGGAGAATCCTGTGAAATAAAACGCCTATATTTACGCTCATGGTTTATCGGTTGTCTTTGAAACAACGTTTGTGAGTATTTCGACTGTTGCTTATGTACATGAATATGGTTAGATTGGCTTATTAATTAGGCTGGAGATTCAGTTGACAGATATCTTTATTCTGCTTAAAATTACAAGAACAGTGGAGCTAAAAAATTTTTAGAATAGCATAATCTAGAAATCAGCTCTAGGAAGTAGAAGTACCTGTAACTAAATAAATATATAAAAGTATAGTTTGGAAATTTCACTTTTCACTCACTTTATTCAATTCACAAAAATATCCATCCCATTCTGGTGGACAAGAACATCGTGGACTTGAATTACCAGGATGAATTATACAAATTCCACCATTTAAACAAAAGCGATTTGTCAAGCGCGAGGTTGAAAGCCTGTACTTTTCGTTTTCCGATATACAATCAATAACTGGTTGCGTACAAAATGGTCCACTCCAGTTGTCCGGGCAAATACATATAGTTTCATCGTCATCATCATTGGTTCCTTGATTGGTATATATCAACCCTTCGGCATTGTTATCCCCTATAAGTTCACGTAGTAGTGTACAACGACCACCATTCTTACATGGCGACTTTTCACAAGAATAATAAACTGAATGACATTCGGGACCTGAGTAATCGCATTTCAATGTAAGAACATGGTAATATATTAAACGTTTGTTTTCTATTACTCTATAACTGTCAGTAGTATGATATGAATAGAGCAAAGTGATTACAACTATATGAATTTTCCAGTGATAGTTGACCAAAAAATTGAGCTTAATAGTTTTTGTAATCATCATTGGTTTTGACTCTAAATGTTATTAGATTGCAACTTTTTGTATCAACTTGAAAGGCAGTTATCTGTGTGTCCTAAAACAAGGTTTGAAGAAACTTAACAAGGGAGCAAATTAACATCATTGAAGATACTTATACTCTTGAAACTTAATTTAGTTCTTCCAGAAAACCTTTCAGTTACATTGTTGTTCATCCATTCAAATCACTCACTGTTTCTTCAGTGTTATACGAAAAATGCCTCACATAGTAGAGAAAACTAAATCACATTTTTTAAATTTTGGTTCCCGTATCGTACACATGTCTCGAAACCTCTATTTGAAAGTTGAAAATAGTTAGGATTTCTCGAAAATTTTAACAAATCGAAAAGATAATAATAAGTATTTGTAGTCTATGAATGGTTTTTCATTGCTAATATATCTATAAGCATAGCTTCGATTCATGCAAATAATGATTTGAATAAAAATGACTAGTTAGGAACCTGTATATTATTCCAAATCAGCAACATTTAGTTCAGACATTCGAAGTTTCCAGAGCCATACATCATTAAATTATGTATAACGTCACGTGAAAACGATTAATGATAGAGATAAAAAACAATGAAAGACTGAAAATGAAAGTAGGTGAAGAATATGGATTAATTGTGAAAAATTTATTAAAAACGATTTTTATCGGAAAGGGTTTTATGGAGATTCTTAGAAATTTCAATAGTTGAAATCATGAGTCGATTGAAGCTAGACTACCATGGCAAACCTGGAAGCACTGGACGGCCAGTTCGTCTTAGTATAAGATTCCTCAGCAGTGCGCATCCACGACTGACTTCAAGAGGCGTTTCTTGGAGTTCTAGTGTGAAGCCCTCACCAGTGAAATTCAACCAGGTCTGTTGTGAGATATCAATTCACTGAAGACAATGGTGTACGGTGGCTCAGCTTCGTGGATCGGTTGAACTTAGACACTAACACCGTTGGATGCCGGCTGTCTCAGTGGCCTAGTGGTTAGGCGCTAGCGCGCGAGACTGATATGTCCTGGGTTCAAATCTCGCATGGGGTCGGGATCTTGGGTGTGCATTGCTGAGTCGTCCCATACTAGGATGAAACGGCCGTCCAGTTCTACCAGTTTCTCTATGGTGTTCTAGCTTTAATTGACTCATGATTTCAACTACTGAAATTTCTAAAAATGATTTCCTAGAAATATTGTCGAAAAGCATGATAGTAGAGATGAGACAGTAATATACAAGTTTATAATTTGACTTCCTAATTATTGGTCCCTATATATAATGAAAATTTACCTTCATAGTTTTTACAAATACATTTTCGACGATGTTCCCTCGGCAAATTTTTACAGCGTGTATTTTTGGGGCAAGGATGTATTTGGCAGTAGTCAATAATGTCACAGTTGACACCATGTCTACCTGAAACAAATATATAACTGTGATTATTACTTAAATCTACTGACGACAATAAAGATTGGATTTAAGAAGAACATTTGGGGAGTTCGGTATTTTTTGTAATTTGTTTAGCAAGAATATAGTCAATTATTTGGTTGAGCTAAAATTGTATATCTGTCAGACAATTTACTTACAGAGAGATACCTTTTTAAATAAAAAGATAAGTTAGAATTCAACATATCATTTCACGTGAACTGTAAGATTCAAACTGATTACTTACATGATTTAATGTAAAATAACTAAACTACAAAACAGAAGGCTTGTATTTTAGTAAGAAAGTGATATTTATTTAAGGCTGTGATTTATGCACACCATGAAATATACATTAAGTTCTACTTTAGTGAACTACTCATCAACTGACCGTCTAGCTTTTGAAAGTTAGAGCATTCCTAAGTACAGTTACTAATTAATTTACGGCTGACTAGATTATATATCTGGTTGTCATATGACGGATAAATTAGCAATAGTTTGCATTTCAGTTTATTAGTAATCTAGTCTAAAGTCACTAAAATATCATTGAAAGTCTCCTTGAAGATCTATGGAACACTAATTCTATCTAATCCTGATTGGGTTAATTAGGAGAAAGTAGATGTAATAATATACCATTAAGATAGAGAAAACGGTAATGATAGGTAAATCTTCTTACAGTTTATCACATAAATAGCTTCAAGGTATATATTGAGAATATTCTTAGTTGGTTATGTCAGTTTCTGATTATTTAAGAATACTTTAGCTTAATGTGCTCTGTTATATATGAAATAAATGTTATCCAAATAAATTTCGAGAGTAATCAAGACTAAAATGTAATGGTGTATGATACGATCTTGATTGGTGTGATTAAGTGAATTAAATTTTGAGTAACATATCCATATTTTTAATCCCAAACGATACTTTAATGAATACTTTGGATTAAATGATCTAAAAAGTTTAAAAACGTGGTATACACTTTCTGATGCACAATTCTAACAACCTTTTGACGTAGAGCATGTTACCAGCTGGTCGGTTTCGTTTCAGTGAACTTCATATCTAACCAATTGAGTATAAACATATTTGGCTATAGTGGGCTGAATGTCAGTATCGTTTCGCTTTATTTTAAACTGAGGAAAAGGATGTATTGAAAATTTTAAATCTAGGACTATTCAACAGTAGTGTTCTGTTTGCACCTCTGTTTTTCCTTTCTTCATTATTGTATTATACTACTTAATAATATTCAGTAACCAACTCATATCCAATCATTTTGTGGCGTGTAACCCTCCATTGTCTGTATGCCGTATCCCTAAGTCTTTACATGAGCTTATTTACTAGTTTAATTATAACTTTATAAGATTTGTAACGGCTAACTTCAATTTGCATGAATTCTAAGAAGCTTTATTTGTTTGTAGCACCTTACATTTTTGCTTTACAATGTCTGTTTCAATTGGTGTCTGACTATGTAGTTTTATACATGGCTCATAACTGTCATATAGACTCTCACATATTTTGTAAGTAACCTTTAAGTGAGTATGTCATGAAGAATTTTTCCGTTGATTGTTTATTAATATAACGAACTCCTTAGACATCATACGAATTGAAGTTTGTATTAATATGGAGATACATTACCGTATTCTAATTTTACCCATAACTTATTTATTTGATCAGAGCTTCGATAGAATTAATAAGTATTCAACATGAAAACAAGACCATATAAAGATTTTCGTTAAAAATTTCAGCATATGAAATAATCTCAAATTCAGAAGATACATTTAAAAATCTTACCATGTAAACAAATTTTTCGTCCATTCTTGTCACAGTCGTATGCCCATGGATGAGGCGAGCAGAATATGTCACATTTACTCCCATAATAATTTGAATTACATGTTAGTCTTATCGATGAGCTAAGACTTGAACAGATAGAAATTTATCATTGAAATTAGTATCATTTGGAGAAAATGTTAGACGAATTTTAACATTTGGTTCAAAATACTGTAGAATATAACTTATATTATTGCGTATCGATGAGTAGTATAGTGAAACGCATCAAATAGTGAGGAAAGAACTGTTAATATAAGTTACCTGACAATTTCACTACTTTATCGGATCCATAAAGCTGATAATTATGTAAAATTATTTGCGAAGGTAATATGTAATAGGAATATTATTACTATTAGCATAGAAGGTTTGTTACGATCGTTCATTTGAAGAAAGTTAGCTAATAAGCAGTTACAAGATAGTGCTAAATATACGAGGTTGATAGCAGTCGGAAAATTTTTTATGATAGGATGGTTTTTATCTCTGAATTGAGCATGTACACTGGTGACGACTGTTTATTTCATGGGAAAACTAAACTCATCGATATATTCCATGATATTCACAAGCTAAAATTCTATTATAAGCAAGCGATAAATGTTTATCTACTTTAGATATATAGAATTACGTTAAAAAATGCCAGCAAAACATTCTTGTTTTATAGTGATATTTTAGTAAATGTTGTTAGAAGAACATGAAGACCACACAACAGATATGTTTAAATTTTTCCGTTTATTGACCACGTTCAGGTGTAGATAGTATAGTTTTCAGATCTGTTGTGGTTGGTACTATGTCAAGTCCATATAGGGTTATTCTGGCTTCTAGACAGACCAATTTATTTATTCTTCTCAAGTCACATTTTAACCTTGTCACTTATTAGCTCATCAGTCCTGACTTTTTATATGACTGTGTGTGTGTTAAATGCATACCCATTTATAACGTATATATAACTTATTTATGTTTGAATATAAATATTGACTCACGTATGATTAAAACAAATTGGCTCATTCGCCTTCTCCGCTGCGTGTCACTTCATTTTTCCGATTGTTTGTTCAGATCAATGAGTATATGAAAAATACTTATTCGAAATTCATTCTCAGATTTGACTTATTCCGTTATTTTCCAACGAGAATTAAGTCGATAAAAGTATACGGGAATTGGCGGTATACATATTTCGATAACAATTATCTTACGATGTAATCAGGGTCAGATACAAGGTCACCAAAGGCCGTCTGTTTTATTTATGTTACGACTATATGGACATACAAAAGATGTTCTACTTCACAATATACTAAAAATGGGTAACTTTATACTACATAGTCGCAAAATAATTGGTGGATATTTTATAATTAGTTAGAAATCATAACAATAGAGACAGGATGATTCATATAATTTCGTTAATCCGATGTATTTTTAAATATAGTGAAGCAATTATAGTGTGTTACTTTCATTATATTTGTTCGTTTCACGGAGATAGTTTTCTTTTTTTGTAAGACTATTAAAAATAGCAACCTTGAGATCCATATTTCAAAGCAAAATCTAAAGTAACTAATTATATATGGCATATTCAACATGGAATTTAGATTTAAGGCTTGTATGCGTTGACAATCCGACAGTTTGCAATGACATGTTCACTTTTCTGTTCTACCAAACTGTTTTAGAACATATACAACCATCATACTAGATAGTTATGTAAAGATGAATGAGATTTATTTCATAGCTGCTTATTTAGACATTTGTTTAATTATGATCAACTTCCCTGCCAGAACCACCATACCAAATTACCCTCAAAATTGATTGTGACCGGTCTTAATTAAGTTGCGATCAGAAATTTATACTCAGTATGGATTTCATTAACCTATCGATTCAAGCTTGACTTCTGTATTTGGAAGCTACATAGTCATTTGCATAATTTGCTATGGTTTTAAACCATCTCTAGTTTTGTGTATAGTTATTAACACGTGTTCATTTCTCCTTTTACTTACAACAGGGAAATGCTTTTCCACACTTCTCTTCAATATGTTATTTTTATTTCACTTTTTAACCTTGTGGAGCCCCTTATTTTGTCGTCATTTAGATCGGAAGATGTTGTCGAAGGGCTCTCCACTTTAGTGGCCCGACATCTGACTCCAAGTAGATCGTATGAATGTTGGTTATCGCCTATCCTCGTATATAATCATCGACTTAAATCGCGTTAGTCAATAACGGAATTAAATAATTCAAATAACGAGAACGGTCTTTTGGATACATATATTTTGTATAATCGTTGTTCAGACAAACGAACGGGGAAGCGATGCGAAGAAAAGAAAGCGAAGCGAAAATGATGCGCGGTGGAGATGGCTGGTAAGCCAACTCCCCTTTAGTTAAGCGTTAATCAATAGTTATAGTTACAAACATGTGATGAATAATGGGATAAGAAGTGTACACACGCCACGCGTTCATATCAAAACAGTCAAGTTTGATAAGCGAATAATTAACAAGGTTAGAATGTGACTCGAGTAGAATGAATATATTGGGCTGTCTGAAAGCTAGAATAAGTTACATGGGCTTAACATAATAGTAGACACTACAACCTTTAACTAGTAAGTCACTTATGTTGTATATTTTGTCATAAAGCTTTGATAAACTGTGATCATTTTGTTGTAGAGTATTGTAAGATAAACATAGATACATTGGTGTAGCTTTGGTAAATAACGTAGTAAGTAAACTTTCTTTACTGAACTTTTTTTATTTATCTTGAAATAAATTATTACAGAAAATGTTAACCTACGTGAAAGAGTCACTTATATGACTGTAATTTAATGGAATATTTTGAAATACATTGGTTTTTTCTGGCTGATACAATCCTGTAGCAGTGGTAATTATATCATGTTCACCCAAAGCATCTTCGTCATAGACAAAAAGATCTAAGCGATATTTTTCCTATAAAATGAACAAAGATACATGATTTTCATTCTACTATAAAGACTATTCTGTTATATTAGGAGTTAAATATTCATTGGTACAAGAAATATCAAGATGCTTACTGTCTACAAGACTAAGTCCAACCACATACCCAATTATTTTATTGTTAAGAATAGACTATTGATCAAGAAATGAGATCTGCATCCCATCATACTAAGTAGTTAAGCGTTATACACCAAACTTAGAGATAACTATTTTTGGGAGGAAAATTCAGAAATCCTAGATTACCTAGATAAACAATAAAATGAATTTTCTTAACAGACTTTTGACAAAACTGATAGTTTAAGTTAATTGATGGGGAGTGTATTTGATTTAAGGTCAGTGGAGGTGGCCAGCAAATATTCCTTGACGTAGTTTTCAGGTTAAAGGATAATACAGTAAAGCATATGTGTAATAGAAAGGCATTTAATTCAAGGCCGGACCTCCTAGATTAGCAGTATGAGTCGTTATCAGGGGTAGGCTGACATGTTTAGATACGTGGTACTTATATTTATTGAGTATCTAGTGGTAACCAATAATGTGTTCTTCATTGTCTAGTGCTAGTCTTATTTCGTCATTCGAGTTATAATGTGGTTGCTAGTCAAAGTGGTTTTGTTTCCTGAAGTAATTAGAAATGTTTCCATGTAAAAATATAGAACCAGTTATTGTAAGCTCATTTTATTATGAATTATTCTATAACCTATATAGAAACAACTAGTGACCAGAGATCCTCAGCTAACTCTTTCGTTGGCTCTCCTTTCCAACTGTTGCCAGGAGCTTTTCATGATCTCCATGCCTGCTTCCGATTCGCGTCTTCATGTGCTTTTTGGCCCACCTCTTTTCCCTTTGCTTTAAGGATTACAAGTTAGAGCTTGATTTTTGATTCAGTATGATGATTTTCTTGAAATCTGTCCTTTTGTATCTTTTCCTAAACTTCTTAATTGCCACAGTAGCTTATTGCTAGTGGTGCCTGACCAATAGATCTGGAATATCGTGCGTAGATTGTTGTCTATAAATTTCTTTAATTCTTGATTATAGATATAGAAGTTGTCCAAGTTTCAACTCTGCACAACAAGATTGTTTTAACTACTGCTGCAGAAGCACGAGGCACAATTGACACATTGAATGCTATGGATTTCGCAGATGACCTAGCTCTTCTATCTCATGCACATCAACAAATGTAGGTCAAGACGGTCAGTGTAGCAGAAGCCTGTAGCAGTAGGCTTTAACATACCCAAAGGATAAAGTAAGATCCTGAATTACAACAGGGAGAGCACTAATTAAATCACTCTTGATGGATTAGTACTGAATGAGATGGAAATTTTTTGTATTTAAGCAGCATTATCGAGACCATAATTTATGGACGAACCAATCAAGTAAAAGGTAACAGGTATCGGATTTTGGCGCGAAATTCACTCATCCATTTGGCTAGATAGAGTTTTGGTATTATAGCTGATGTCTGTTCGTGATGAAAACCCTAAATCTAAGTCCTAACCTTAACCATCAATTGTAAATCATAATTCTAATTCCTCACACTGGTTTATAACCTAGTTTGTAGGTGTACACTCTCAAGGTCACTTTGGCATCTTTCAAAGGTCGTCCATAAATTATAGTCTCACTAGAAATTAGGAAAAGACGATGGAGGTAGATAGGACATGCATTATGGAAGTCATCAAACTGAATCCCCTGTATTCAGTGCTTCTCTTCAGACGTGACAGTCTTCATGATCCAGTCAACAACCAGAATAAAAAGAAAAGGTGGAAGTGGGCAGTCTTTGCTGACACCAATAATTCCACGGAGGACATCTGTGAGCTGCCCTCCATGCATGACTTTACGATTTTAGTACTTTCATGGTAGTTTCCTATGATGATGACGATCTTTTAAGGTCCTCCGTAGCGAAGAACATTCAGAATGATTCTCCTATCCACTCCGTCGAATGCTTTTCATAGTCAAAAAAGGCTGATGCTTAGTGATTGGTTCTGTTTAATTGATTACTTAATAATATGAAGTATTGCGATTGGAACAATACACAATCAATCTATATGAAAACCAGCATTTTGATCTTGAAGTTGGGTGTCTACTAAATCGTTCATCCGGTTTAGCAACTCTCTGTTGAAAACCTTTCCTGGTACTGACAGTAGTGTGATGTCTCTGTAGTCCTTCCACTTTCTGAGATCTCATTTCTTTTGTATCTTGATGAGGTGTCCTTCTTTCCAGTTTATCAGCACTTGGTCCTTTGCCCAAATCTTCCTGAATAGAACGTGGAACATTTTTGCAATTACTCCTATATGTTACTTCATTGCTTCAGCTGGTATGTTGTCTGGTCCTTGTGCTTTCCTAATCCCAGTTAACCTAGAATGGATTCAGGCATATAATATGTTCAAGAGAAAAAAGGGTGAAACAATGTTGTGCAGAACAAATTATGAATAAGGACAGCTAGTTTTGGTAAGCAGTCATCAACCTTTTTGGTGTATGCTACTTATGTCGACCTAAGTAGTGTATAACACCAATCAGAAGTGGAATGCCTGTAAGGAGAAGGTTGGGAAGATCAAATCGAATAGAACAGCGATAGACAGTAATTGTAATAACAATGAAGATTTGGAAAATTGATGAAGGACTCTGTAATTTCGTACCAAATTACGTTGGTTATCCCCAACTGCGTTCTTGTTCATTACGCATTTAAAATAGATCATAGAAATTTGGGTATTTATGACTATTAACATCTAGTTGAGACTTGTTACCTTGTATATTAAGGTTTAAAATCCTTTCAAGATAATTAAATACTCAGCTTTAACAAAAAAGAAACTTTAGGATAACTTACAGGTAATCTTTCATTTACTTTTCCAGATACTTTGAGGTGAAATTCTGCAGTGTCCGCAATAGTCTCTGTTTTCACATGAACTAATTGCCTGTTAAATACAATTGTAATACAAATTATTTGTGTCATCTTCATACCCTGGTAACTAAAGTATATTATAACAGACTGAATATAATGCTTGTAATAATGTTTTCTTATGTAAGAGGTCAACTTAGTTGCATTTCGGATAGTGGAAATTGGGATATATATTTCATCTTATTGTTGACAGTTGAATGTAGCTATTTTTTTATTTTCTGCTAACTTTGAATCACTGTGTTTATTCAATTCTCTTAAATCACGAGATGTTATCATAACAATATCAAAGTGATAATTCAAATAATTTTACCTTGTCGATTATGATTTATCACCTAACAAGAACATTTTCTTACCATTGAAAGTTATTGAAAGTAGTTATTGGCTTGGACAGTCATTAAAGATACATTAAAGTCGAGCTTGATGGAAGTCAATTACTGAACTTGTGATAGTTAAAACCTTCTTGGTCTGAATGAAGATGTGAATCAAAGACATCATGTTAGATAATAACAGTTATTTACTCTAAAATTAGCTGATTTTTCGACAAACTATGTGTCTGTGTTACTTGAAATCTGTGACTTTGTAGTAAATCATCTTAGAGATGATCCCTAAGGCTTCGTATATCAGTCATCCTAGTAACCGTTACTAGTTAACTCCCAAAGGTGTATAAATTTTAGAAGACAATACGAATCATTGACTACAGTTCATTATTGCACAGCGCAGATCACTAAGCCGCAAGCATCTGAGTAGAAATGCTGGTGCGAGTGATTAAATACAGAGTCAAATGGATTGATATGACTTAAGCACACTTATATAGGAAAACTAATGGTTCATTAAGGGATTTAAGCAACTAATACTTAGGCTAGTAAGAGGAATATGTATGTAGGCTGTAACATGTGATCAAGCATACATACATGATAATAATTATACAAAGATAAACAAATTGTTACTTTTCGAATGTCACTGTCTGTTAAATAAGTTAATTGAAGGTCTTGACAAAGCCAAACGTAAACAGACTTAAGTGTGGGTGAGGTGGTACAAACTAACCTGCCAAACAATTTAGTTAATAGAACAGACTCAACATCCTAGTCAAAGATCGATGGTAGCCAACAGTTTTGTCCATAATGTGTATTTTATCCTACTTGAGACTCGTAAACTGAACGTTCGTGCGTAACAAAATGAACATTCATCCTGGGACTCAAACCCAGAAACGCTCTCTTCAGACGTTTTCGCGTCAATCATTTAGCTACTGAATCCGGACAACTACTGGCTTGTGTAATTGGATGAAAATGAAACATTCTGTTGATAAGCTAAATTGTCGATTGTTAATACTAAATAAGTTAGTAATTTTTTTTAAATATGAAGATTTTACAATGTTTACCAAACATGTTGGGATTTAATATAGTAGGTCGGATTTAATATGTAATGAAACGAATATATTTGATCGAAGATCCCATAAAGTATAATATAGCTATCAGATCAATATTAATACTAGTTATTTTGAAAACATGAAATTTATTGAAGCATAATTATTCTATTTACAAACGACTTTATGATAACGTAATCTAATCCAGTGATGGAATATATAAAGTTAAATATTTGAAAGCTCTTAAATTTCCTTTTTTTTCAAAAAAAATTATTGCCAAAATGAGTTAAATATGGAATTAGGTCCTGGGTTCGAATCTCGCGAAGCGCACTACTAAGGAGTTCCACAGTAGGATGAAACCAATATCCAGTGCTTCCAGGTTTTCCATGGTGGTCTAACTTCTATTGACTCATTATCACAACTATTAAAATTATGGTTTCCTTCAAAAAAAAAATAATAAATTACTTCAATTTCTATAATGTAAATAGTTTTACTACTTTAATTTCCACAAATTAATGTGTAAATTAATGAATCACCTTGAGTTATTGTCAACTAATTCATACAATTTCACAATTATGTAAACATCACATCGGTGTAATTGCCAATCACAGTAAGATCCACTACTTGTAGTTGATTCTAGATTTCTATAATAAATTTCTATTTCAAAACGTCCACCAGGTAGATTTATCTACAAATAAATTAAAATATTTAGCTGTCAGTTATTTACAATACTTATATTACTACTAATAATAATGACTATAGTAATTGTATTCTCTGAGCAAATGTAATGAATAATGTTAATGTTACACGTTTAATTGTTTAAATTTATAAACAGAAATCATTCTTGAAATTTTAATATAACTATTACATTGGATACATAATGGGTGGTCAGAATTTAAATAAGGGGATATTTTAAAGTATTATTTGTAAAAAAATCATAATAGCAACTCACGCGCAATTGTGTTTGTTCTCATTTAATTCGGGTTAAGCCCTTTTGTTAACTTATTTAGCGGACAGAGTCATCCGTACTATAAAAACTTAATTACTTACTCCTGTTACTCTTAATGGAGCATAGGCCGCCGACCAGCATTCTTCAATCCACCCTGTCCTGGGCCTTCTTTTATAGTTCCATCCATTTCTTGTTGATCTTTCTCATGTATATCTTCATTTCCCGGCGTTATGTGTTCTTTGGTCTTCCTCTCCTCCTTCGGTCTTGAGGATTCCATGTGACAGCTTGCCATGTGACACAGTTCGGTGTTTTCCTCAATATGTGTTCTATCCACTTCCAGCGCTTCTTCCCGATTTCTTCCTCCACAAGGATCTGATTTGTTCTCTCCCACAGTAGGTTATTGTCAATAGTGTCCGGCCAACGGATCTGAAGTATTTTTCGTAGACAGCTGTTGATAAACACCTGTATCATTTGAATGATGACTTTTGTATTGAAAATTCTGACCTTAATGTTGGTTGCCAATTGTTTTGAGTTCCTGACGCTCTTCAGTTGTAAATATGCTACTCTTGCTTTGCCGATCCGCGCATTCACAGCTGCAGCAGATCCACCGTGTTCATCGATGATGCTGCCCAAATATGTAAAGGCTTTTACATCTTCCAAATCTTCTCCGTCAATCGTGATTGGATTGGTGCAAGCTGTGTTGTATCGAAGAATCTTGCTTTTCCTTTTGTGTATATTGAGACCTATTGCTGCTGAGGCTGCAGCTACACTGGTTGTCTTCTCCTGCATTTGTTGTTGCGTATGTGATAGAAGAGCCAGATCATCTGCGAAGTCTAGATCATCCAACTGCATCCTAGCTGTCCACTGTATCCCGTGCTTCCCTTCAGATGTTGACGTCTTCATGATCCAGTTGATCAACAGACGAAAGAGAAAGGGTGAGAGTAAGCAACCTTGCGTGACACCAGTCTTTACTTCGAACGACTTTGTCAACTGTCCTTCATGCACGATTTTACAGTTTAATCCATCATAGGAATTCCGTATGATATTGACTATCTTCTCAGGCACGCCGTAGTGTCGAAGAAGCTTCCATGGTGTTGTTCTGCCCACGCTATCAAATGCTCTTTTCGTAGTCAATGAAGTTGATGTAGAGTGATGAACTCCATTCAATTGATTGTTCCACAATGATCCGTAGAGTTGCGATTTGATCTGTACACGATCTATCCTTACGGATTGCTGCCTGTTGGTCTCGAAGTTGGGCGTCTACGGAGTCCTTCATCCTGTTTAACAATACCCTGTTGAAGACTATTCCCGGTATTGAGAGAAGAGTGATTCCCCTGTAGTTTTCACAGTTGCTGAGATCGCCTTTCTTTGGTACTTTGACTAGAAGTCCTCCTTTCCAGTCTTTTGGTATCTGTTCCTCATCCCAGATCTTTGTGAAGAGAATGTGGAGTATCCTTGCAGTTACCGCTACGTCTGCTTTCAGTGCCTCTGCTGGAATATTATCTGGTCCTGCTGCTCTGCCACACTTGATTTGTCTGATAGCCATGCTGATTTCCTCAATTGTTGGTGGGCCAACATCGATTGGCAGGTCCGTGAGTGCTGTTTCGATGTTGGGTAGGTTCAGTGGGGCTGGTCGATTCAAGAGTTCTTTGAAGTGTTCTACCCACCTGTTCCGTTGTTCTTCAATGTTGGTGACTATCTCGCCTTCCTTGTTTTCCACTGGTCGTTCTGGTTTACGGTGATTTCCAGGGAGTTTCTTTGTTGTGTCATACAGTTGTCGCAGATTTCCTTCGCTTGCAACCTTTTCCGCCGTCACTGCTTAATCTTCCACATATTTACGTTTGTCAGTTCTGATGCTCTTCTTCACTTGCTTGTCTACTTCTGTGTATTCAGCTTGTGCCTTGGCTTTTTCAGCTCTTGTTCGACTGTTATTGATCGCTGCCTTCTTGTTCCTCCTTTCTTCAATCTTATCCAGTGTATCGACCGTGATCCAATCCTTGTGATGGTGCCTCTTGTGGTCCAGAACCTCATGACATGTTGAAGTGAGTGCCTCTTTTGTCCCTTTCCAGTTGCTCTCCATAGTAGTTTCTTCTCCATTGAGTAGATCATGAAAGGCCTGGAACTTATTGCTGTGGGTTATCTTGAATTTGTTGAGTTTGTCATTATCCCGAAGAAGAGCCGTATTAAATTTTTGTGATATTTTCCACCCCGTTGTCTAGTGCTTGTACCTTTATTATTGTTGTGCTTGTATGAAATATGTACGCTTAAACATTGTTTACCGCCTACGCATATATTCATTCTGGTAGCTTTATTATTAGCTGCCTAATCGATTCGATGATCCATTCATTTCCCTATATATATATATATAAATGTACATTTAATACTCCACACTCTCGGTTCGCTGACCCACTCATTCGTCTCTCTGCTTTGTGGTCTGAGTTATCTGCTAATAAAACTGTAGTCGCTGCTTCTCTTTGCCTTCTGATTTCAAACACCGTTGAGGACTGTATGATATCGGTTACAAGGGTGATTGGTTAACGAAGTACAGCCACTACAAGGGATTGTTTAGTTAATACCTACGTTCGTAACCATTATTCTGTCAAGTTGATATTTTCACGTAATTTAAACCTAGATTGTCATACAAAGTTAGAATTAACAAGAAATATTTGTACAACTAGGTCTTATACAGATGTGTTGTCTAGTAACATTGATCATATTATAAAAAAGATATATGTAGGACTCAGTAGTTAAGTGGGTAACGCGATGGTATTTGAAGTGAACAGTAGTGGGTTCGAGTCCCAGAGTGAACTTCAACTCGAATTCGCAGGTACAACCAGCTGACGAGTCCCAAGTAGGACGAGACGCGCATCCTGGATTCCAGTGCTTGCCACAATATATATTTGCATATGTAGATGAAGATTTATTTTAGTACAGTGAAAATTCTTGTTTTGAAATTTAGTAAAAAGAACGAATAGAACGAATTCTACACTTATATATATATATATATATATATATATATTCACGAGTCGAACTAAATTAGAGTACCACTTAAAACTTGGAAGCACTGGATAGGATTGGACTCCTCAGAAGTACGCATGCACAAACCCACATGCGGGAGTTCTAGTGAGGAGCTGTGACTAGTGGAGTCCAGTCCTTATCAAATGTGAGATAGTTATCTACTTCAGACAATGGGTGAAAATTTGTGCATGATCATGGATCGATTGAAGTTAGATATTAACTGTCGTATACCGACCCAGTGGTTTAGAAGTTAGGAGTTTGTGCGCGAAACCGAGGGCCTTGGGTTCGAGTCCCGCATGCAGGATCGTCGATAAGTACGCTGAGAAATATCATACTAGGACAAAACGGCCGTCCCATATTTCCAGGTTCTCAGTGGTATTCTAGTTTAGATCCACTCGTGAATTCAACTTTGAACATTAAATTAATCTCAGTCACTGGTCATTGATTTCTTAAAATATATAGGTTAACATTCACATGAAGGAATAATTCTAATAAATTCTTTACAGTCATTAGACATTTCATATGTTCATATATGCATTACTAATGATTTTTCTCCACAAATTGTAATGCTGTTTCTTGAACTTTCATATTTCATTAGTTTAGTCTTTTTTTTTTCAAGTGATCATTGACTAAAGTATATTGTCTTATTGAGTTATTTCAATAATAAATAACATTTGAAATAGATTGTAACTGATAATACACGTTGTCATAAAACGCGCGTATTTTATCTTACAAATCTCTTTCTTCTGTCATACATTAAAAAAGGTATATATTTAACATAAATAATCAATCATTAAATGATAATTTAAGTAATACTTGACTCTTTATTTTATTGTTAGAATGAGGTTTTGTTTTTGAAGATTGTAGCGATTTTAATAGTTGAATTCATAAATCGATGAAAATTAGACCACCATTGATAATCTGGAACCATTATACAGCCATTTCGTACTAATGTTTTACTTGAAATCACCATAACCAAGTTGACTTGAAAAATACTACACATTTACATTATACATTGAAAATAAACTGTTATTAATGGAACATGTTTTAAATAGTTACAGATTATTAACTCTTTAGGACAGCATTAACGTTACTATATATAAAATGATAAGGGGATAATTTTGCACCTACCAAGCCCCTATGTAATGGGATGTTTAAGTGATTGGATCACTTTCTTGTCCTATACATTATTACAGTTCCTTATTACTTTTCTAATAATATTCTGTTAAATAACAAAATATTAGTCAAAAACAACATGCAATCTCTTAGCAATAGGTTCGAATGTAACTTCACTTCGGTTTATCAGTTGAGCAACGATACCTGACTCCACACAATGAAATATATTCTAAAGTTAACTACACAAATTTGTACATAGTTAAACCTACTTGATAATCTTTCAATGGAACGAATAAATATTAGTATACCCTTATATCTTGTCTTACAGTTTTCGAATATGAATTATACATATATAAATGCATATTAATTATTTTGTTATCAAATAACTAACACTTACTTCTGTATTTGAATGAATATACATAGAAAGAATAAGATTGATAACAATAAAATAGTAACCGTAATAATAATAGTAGTAGTAATAAATTCGATTGAAGAGAATAGTCCAATGCATTGTTGACAATCTAATCATGCATTACATGAAATACAATGTATTATAATGCAAAAATTGTTTAATTTATAGTCATATTAAGCTTATTCGACTATGTCATTTTGTTTATCTATATAAAGATATGAAATGTATTGAATGAAATTGACTATGGAATATTTTAGTGTTGAAAAAAATTTGTTTGTTTGTTTATCTATGAAGTTGTTTTATTAAATAAGATTAAATATTTATCCTAATAATAATAGTTGGTCAATCCAGTTACTATACATATGAATCAATAATCTGAAATATAATTAATGTTGTATCACCTGGATTGAATATTGTTTATTATTAAAAATTTAATGTTGTAATTGAATTTAGTGAAATGAATATAGTTGAACACTTTATTGATTTTTGACAATAGAATGAAATGATGAATATTATTTGTTACTGAGGCATATTTATAGACTTTTTTGATATATTCATTTTAGTATAATCAATATTAACGAAAAATTTAAAAAGAGTCATAGCAACATATCTAGCTGATATAGTGTATATCATAAATGTAATTTAATAAAGAGCTCTTATAATTGTTTGAGTTTTTAAGTGAACTTTCTTAATTTGAGTGTATAAATGGACAAGCAATTCCTTTTAGAATCCTTGAAATTAACTAATTAAAAGTTTGTTATATTTATGATATATGAATAATTCGATGTTCATAAGCTTCATGGAAACATGTGTATAAAATGTAAAGTTGAGTTTTAAGGATTTTACGGTTAATGATAAAATAAATTGTCACTGAATATTGTTGAAGTAGTATGCTTCATCATTGACTTTATGATTAAGTTTTTTCGACTTATTAAACTAAGAAAAAGTATTTCTAAATTTACAATCCCACTAGTTTACTGTCAGACTAACTAAAATACAATCCTAACAAATATTGAGAACTTATGTCATTAGAATGTTTGAAGAACTAAAAATCTTTCAAACTGTTTACTGATTGATAATAAAAAGCAGTTGGATCCAGTAAATTTTAATTAACTATTAGAGGCAAATAAAAAGACAATGATTAGTCGAAATATATGTTTTCGTACCGGAGATAAATAGTCTATTATAGAAGTATGGAACAAGTGTAAAACGTCTAAACGAATAATATTACATTAGACTTAGGAAAACTCAAATTAATTTTAATGGTTTTCATGAGTATAATAATCAAAGTGTATCATTTTTAAAGAAGTGGTGGATCAAAACGACTAATAGAAAATATTATCAAGGAAACGTTTCCAACAATCTGATCACATATTTACTTATCAAAAGCGTTTGGTATGAAAAGTAAAAAGTCTTCTCAAAACAAATGTTAAATAAATAAAACATGAAAATGAAACTTAAAAGGAATCAAAAGTTGTTGCATTATCCTTGGAATAGAAAATTGACTACTGATTGCTATTTCCGTGTCAACAATTAGTTTTTGAACACAAAACTGAAACTTTAAAATCCTATTGAATAGGGGCTTCGTAGGCTCAAAATTATACCCTTAACGTAACATAAAAGCCGTCCTAAAGTTGGTCATGATGTAGCGTTAATAATCTGTAGCCATTTAAAATAGTAACAGTTTATTTTCGATGTATAATGTAAATGTATAGTATTTTTCAAGTCAACTTGATTATGGTGATTTTAAATAACTCCACTAATATTGAATCTATAAACTCGAACACTGACACTGGCGTGTTTGATATGTCACGCACTGAAGTCAATGTGTATGGGATCCCATCAAGTTGTTCTAATACAAAAGTAACCAAAACAGCAAATAAAATCCACGCGTTTCAGTACATCATTCAAAGAAGTATCCGATTCTCATCATTATGTGATCATTTCAAACCTTTATAATGTGAAGCCTTTAGACTACTTATTTAATAAAAAGTAGTAATAACATTGAAGAAGAAGAAGAAGAATGTGGTTAAAGAATATGTGTATACTATTTAGCTTCATTCGCTTAACATAATTAATAATTTCAATTTTGGTTGGCTTACAGCAATCACTAAACTAGAACGCTGATAGATATTTTAGCTAAAAATTATCTTCTAGTTAACACAAATGTTACTACATTTAAATAAGAGAACTTAGTTTTCTACAAGAGCATAACCATATTCTCCTTTCATTAAGTGTTTCTAACAGACCAGGAAATTTACCATTAACTATTGTAACAGTTTACACTGAAGTTGCAAAAAAATTTACAAGAAAAAATGTATCCAGTCTTATTTAAGTGTAGTGCTTTTCATTCTAGATTTTTCTGCCTTCATGGATGAATAGACCAAGTAAATGGTAATATTACAACCTGTCATATTTAAAATTATGATTATATAATGGGTTTAAATTACTTACATAAAAGAGTATGGTTATAAGTTATGTTGAAGACATATTCGTAATGAATTCATGATATTCTACTAGAAACTTTGTTTTTGCTCTTTTCAAAATGATAAAGGGAACTATATGTACAAATGGTAATAATCAGTTCGATTATTACTAAATAGCGCATAAGCAATAAACAGTTTAATTAGTTTATCAAAGTTTTCGGAATAGAATCGACGGTATGGTTTGGCAGATCCAAATAAAATAATCATTTTGTCTTAAAGAACTGAACTTTTTTAATTTTTAAGATGATAACAGTTTTATTGAATAATTTTAAGCATGTTATGTTTTTTTACGCCTGTTACTCCTAATAAAGCATAGACCGAAAACCAGCATTCTCTAACCCACTCTGTCCTGGGCCTTCTTTTCTAGTTTTGTTATATACCAGTGAAGATTAAAGTACAGGTAACTTTCGACGACTATTAATGGACTAATATTCTATAAATATTCTTATTGTATAATTATTCAAGAATTACATTATGTGTATTTATATTCCACTTATTATAAGCTTTATTTTGACTCATAGATTATTACTATACGATTTATTATTCTTGAGTTATAACCTGTCTATTACTTACTGTCTCCCATATTCATAGCCACGTTTTGGCCTATTTTTGTACACATGTTATTTTCTATTTTATGGTACGTTGTGGTCTGTCTGATTGATATATAAACCGAGTATGTCTGAAATAAAACTCCGCCTGGAGTTCCTTTCGGGGGGCTATTGCCGGTCCCAAGCTTTGATAAAGGAGGAGGGTTGGGCTTGGGGTAAGCAACCCCATCCCGTAGAAAACTAACTCGCTGAAAAAATGCTAACCAGAAAAAATTATTCAAACCATTTAAACTCTGCCCTGGGAGTCAGGAGGTCTTCGTTTAGAAGAATTATGACGCCTCATGATGAAAGCCGAGTTTCTTCGGAAGCCACGAAGACGATGCCCCTTCTGACAACGAGAGCAACCATTTATTTAGATACATGGAATGCTCGCACAATGTGGGAGACTGGGAGAGTTTTCCAAATTGCTGCAGAAATGAGGAGATACAATTTAGAGGTACTTGGGATCAGTGAAACACATTGGACTCAAGTTGGACAACAACGACTAGCTTCAGGGGAGCTGCTGTTATACTCCAGACATGAACAAGAAAATGCTCCACATACACAAGGAGTTGCATTGATGCTGTTCAAACAAGCACAAAATGCACTTATAGGATGGGAATCTCATGGATCAAGGATCATCAAAGCCTCCTTCAAAACAAAGAAAACGGGGATTACAATGAACGTCATCCAATGCTACGCGCCTACCAACGACTACAATGAAGACGCTAAAGATCAATTCTACGATAGGCTGCAGTCAATCGTCGAGAAGTGCCTGACCTGACTATTCTGATGTTAGACCTAAATGCCAAGGTTGGAATTGACAACACCGGATACGGAGAGATCATGGGACGACATGGACTCGGAGAAAGGAACGAAAATGGTGAGAGATTTGCAAATCTATGTGCCTTCAATAAACTGGTCATAGGCGGGACTATATTCCCACATAAACGCATACACAAAACCACATGAACTTCACCGGATCACACCACACAGAACCAAATCGACCATATCTGCATCAACAAAAAGTTCAGGAGGACGATGGAGGACGTGAGAACAAAGAGAGGAGCTGATATAGCATCAGATCATCACTTGCTGTTCGCCAAGATGAAATTGAAACTCAAGAGGCACTGGACAACGGGGTGGAAAATATCACAAAAATTTAATACGGCTCTTCTTCGGGATAATGACAAACTCAACAAATTCAAGATAACCCACAGCAATAAGTTCCAGGCCTTTCATGATCTACTCAATGGAGAAGAAACTACTATGGAGAGCAACTGGAAAGGGACAAAAGAGGCACTCACTTCAACATGTCATGAGGTTCTGGACCACAAGAGGCACCATCACAAGGATTGGATCACGGTCGATACACTGGATAAGATTGAAGAAAGGAGGAACAAGAAGGCAGCGATCAATAACAGTCGAACAAGAGCTGAAAAAGCCAAGGCACAAGCTGAATACACAGAAGTAAACAAGCAAGTGAAGAAGAGCATCAGAACTGACAAACGTAAATATGTGGAAGATTAAGCAGTGACGGCGGAAAAGGTTGCAAGCGAAGGAAATCTGCGACAACTGTATGACACAACAAAGAAACTCCCTGGAAATCACCGTAAACCAGAACGACCAGTGGAAAACAAGGAAGGCGAGATAGTCACCAACATTGAAGAACAACGGAACAGGTGGGTAGAACACTTCAAAGAACTCTTGAATCGACCAGCCCCACTGAACCTACCCAACATCGAAACAGCACTCACGGACCTGCCAATCGATGTTGGCCCACCAACAATTGAGGAAATCAGCATGGCTATCAGACAAATCAAGTGTGGCAGAGCAGCAGGACCAGATAATATTCCAGCAGAGGCACTGAAAGCAGACGTAGCGGTAACTGCAAGGATACTCCACATTCTCTTCACAAAGATCTGGGATGAGGAACAGATACCAAAAGACTGGAAAGGAAGACTTCTAGTCAAAGTACCAAAGAAAGGCGATCTCAGCAACTGTGAAAACTACAGGGGAATCACTCTTCTCTCAATACCGGGAATAGTCTTCAACAGGGTATTGTTAAACAGGATGAAGGACTCCGTAGACGCCCAACTTCGAGACCAACAGGCAGCAATCCGTAAGGATAGATCGTGTACAGATCAAATCGCAACTCTACGG